CACTGGAGGACAGCACAGCTTTTGGTTTGGAGATGCTGTGGAAGGATATAGAAAGGAGGTTGCTCCCTCTCTCGTTCTGCCAGGATTTTGGCTAGAGAAGGCGCCTGTGCGGGCGGAGGGTCGGTTGGCGCGGGACTTGAGCTGTCTTGACCTGTAAGGCATCTTCTCTCTCCTGTAGATCTCCCAAAGTTACTGGATTCTTTTAAAACCTTCATATTCTTTTCTCCTTATTTGCTTCAGTGTATCCCTTTGAAAAACCGTGCCTTTTGCAATAGAACAATAGCAGTTTCCTACCAAAAAAGGCTCTGAAATCCAATTCTCAGTTGAGCGCAACCTGCCTGGGGCAGCTTTCTCTTCTGTTTGCCTGCTGATCTGAACTAGGTGAGTTTATTTCCAAAGGCAGACAGCAGAGCCTTCCCACCCCTGCGCGCAGGTTGCTTTTGGTGTGTGGCAGGAGTGCCGCAGGGGCAGCGACGTGGGAGGCAGAGAGATTAAGAACTGATGCTGGGGGAAGGGCAGCCACATGTTCAAAGGCAAAACACAGCTGGATAAAGACTGTACTGGGTCGTGCTCGAGGTCTGAGGTTGGAGAAGTAGGCTGTCAGAGCACGAGGTATCGGCTGAAAAGGAGACTTGATGTTGCTGTCCTTGACAACGTTCGGTCATACCTAGCCTGCAGACCATCGCAGGAGAAGGAGGATTTGTTACCTGGGAAGATACCAGCTACGAGCCTTTAGTTCCTGCCTGCCTTTGCCTTTAGTGGGAAGTAATCTGGGATTTCGCACTTCTCTGCCTGCCTCTTCATGTTTCTCCTTCCTCTGTGTGTCTCAGGTGTGGGGACCTTGTTTCTGGTGTAAGACGTGAGGGTCTGAGGGAAGGGGTTTCTCTCTCTGTATAGAAAAGTACCAGCAGCCTCTCTCTGCCTATATAATCAAAAGATCCTACGGCCTGAGAGCTGGACTCCCTTTCTGGGTGGATATCTCTCCTGGAGAAGGCCTTCCTTTTATCTGAATGTGGGCCGGAGGGGGTTGTGGACAGCTAAAAGAGTCCAGTGTCGGAAGGAGCTGCGTGGCATGGGAAGGAGGGCTGGGAGAAGGAGCAGCCCTGCTGAGGGGCAGGGACGGTGGGCAGGGATGCTGAGCAGGGAATTGCACGGGGGAGGCGTAGAGCCGAAATCTCACATGAGCCACGGGCTCGTGCTGACTCTCCGCTCCCTGAAAAACAGCCGCTTCTTGGGACTTCTCCCCCATCAGCGATCGGCATTGTAGGTGCTCCCCACACACAAGTGCCAACGTTTATAAGGATCCTGCCGCCCCTCCTCCCTGCCTCCTCCTCCTCTTCCGTCGTGTTTCACCGCCTCCCTAATACCCCCTCTGCCTCAGCCAGCTCTGCCTTTTTTTTTCTCACCAAAGCTTGAATGTTTTGCACTTTATGTATCCAAATTACTCTCAGAGCTCAGCGGGCCGTATGGGCTGTACGGCCATTTCAGCAATACGCGCTTCCTCCCGTGACTCGCCTCCGCTGCCGCGGAGCAACGCCGGTCCCCGGACTGCCTTCCACCGTGGGAGCCCACGCCGTCTCGGAGGAGGCTGGAGCAAACCAGGGCTACAACGTTCTCATCTTGACTTTGTGATAGCAGAGCATCTCCAAAGGCCAAGGCGGGGCTAAGGCACCAGGACCTCGGCATCACGCAGGAGACGGAGCGGCTACGGAAAAAAAACGAGCGGTGACGACAGCCGAGGCTGCCCTGATGTTACGTGTGTGTCCTCGAGCTTTTAGAAGTCCGGAGGTATCTACAAAGAATGATTTGTGCTTAGGAAAAGGCATTTTAAAGATGCTTCTGCCCTTGTTCTGTGTTCCTCCACCCTGCTGTCCTGCAGACGGGGGGTTTTCTCGCCCACCACAGTTTGTATTCTCTGTGTGAGAGCGAGCAAGCTTGGCGACACCACACAGCAGCGCTGAAGCCGGAATCTGTATAATTTTTTTTGTTAAAACCTCTAAGTTACCAGAGGGAAATGGTTTCCTTGTAGAGGAGGGATGAGAAGCCAGGGGAAATGTTCTCAAGTTGCTCCTGTCCCACATCCTCCATAGTTAGCGATTCATTTGCGAAAACAGGGAGGCGAGCAGCGCTCCTGGGCCGCGTGCAGGGTGACGCCCCGAGGTGTGTTGCTCTTCGCTGCACCCAGCAGACAGAAGGGTTTTAATGGGCCAGCAGCAGCTTCTCACTGGTTCTGTTTTAAACACAGCCGTTAACAATTACTCTGTTTGCCTTTTACCTCCTGGTCTGTCCTTCTCTTTCCACGCTCGAGCTGTTTCACGAGCTCTTCCGCAGGGTGCTGTTGCGCACAGCTGTGCTCTGCTTTTGCTGTCAGCCCACGACTGGGCTTCTTGCTTTTCAAGAACTCTGGCCAAGTGATTTATTTTTGCCTCGGCTGGCCGTTCTGGCTCAGAGCTATGTGCCAGAAGAACTGCCGAGGTGTATCCTTAAACTGGAACAAACCTGAAGGGATGTGGATACTGGAGGCTCAGCCTTACGACTTGTCTGTGAAGAAACAGCCATGTGTTTTGTGTTATAAACGTGGGGTGGAAAAACATCCCAAAATGGGAGAGATAAGTGTTGGGGTTTTCGGAGTTGTTGATTTTCCTGTACTTCACGTACGCAGGAAGTGGGTTCTGTGTGTTTCACGTTTTAATAGTTGCAACTAATGTTTATAAAGAGCTTGTTATTTACGTTTTAAGCACTTTAAAAAAAAATAAAAGTTGTTCAAGCTGTTCCTAGATACTTCTGATGTATTGACAACAGCGTCTGTGCTGATAGCACTTGGACAGTGAGTGACATTTATCTGTTTCTTTTCCGAAGTAGGATGACGGTGTCCAATTTCTCCAGCAGCTTTTCCAGCATCGTTAACTGACCCCGAGCACCCGCTGCCGTGTGGTGGCTGTGGGGAAGGTGGTGGTGGTGGTGGTGCAGGGCTGCCTTGAGTTCCTCTCCGAATATTGCCGGGGTTGGTCGGTGCACCCAAGGGGGTGTCACCTCCTCGAACGTCTTTGCCTGTGCCTCACAAGTGTGTTTTGTGCTGAGTGACCGCAGGCGCTCGGCTTGGGCGGGATCTGATCTGCTGGCAGCTCTGGTTCTGCTCCCCACCGACGCTGCCCCCGCGTAGTGGGAGGGTAAAGGTTATTATTGCATTCCTGAGGATTTGTGGAGAATAAGCAGCTGAGTAGAGTAGAGAGATCTCAACTGCAGCGCGCTGGAGGAAGAAGAAAGGAGAGCTCATGTTGCATCGTAGACGCGGGAGGGTTCAGCCTGCGGGTGCCTGGTGAGGAACCCCAGCTCCATCAGCGCCGCTGCTTGCAAGAACAGGCAGCTTTTACCCGCTCTTCATGGGCACAAAGCACTTACATTTCTCCCCTTCCGTGCTGCAGACCTTGTTGGCACGGGACTGATCCCCACTGAAACCTTCACCTCTCGCTCCTCTGCCCTAATCCCACCCACCTGTTTCATCACGCAGCCGTTTTCCTTCTCAGGACCCGCTTCTTTCTTCATTCATGCCTTTTCCTTCAAAAAAATTAACTCCCCTTAAGCCTCAGAAAATAACTTCGCTGCTCCGACTGAAGAGTGTTGTTAGCTCTAATCCCAGTTTGTTTTTCATCCAGCTGGACCGCAGGCTGTTAGCGAGCTCAGCACCTGTCTGGGGGGATCATGTTAGCCCTGAGAGTCTGGATGGGCTCTGGGTGGGGGAAATGTTTGGCAGGCTGCTTCCCAGGATCAGGGCGCTGAACTGTGACCCTCTGAAAGACTATCCAAAGAAAAGACAGCCTGAAATGACTGGGGTAGCGTGGGGTTCCCCTGGCTGAGGGGGTGCAGGGGGTAGAGCAGAGCAGAAGTCGTCAGGAGGCTGGGGGAACTGGAATCCTTTAGGCCAGGAAAAAAAAAAGAGGATTGTAAGACCTTGGTCCTGCTAAAACTGCCGTACGTGATTACATCAAGTGTCTCTGCCTGCTTGAGAGCTTCAACCACAAGCTCAGGACTGATGCAAATAATTCACGTCTCTGCAGGAAGAACTGGCTGGGTTTGCTGTTCAAAGCCGGAGTTTTGCAGCCCGCCGCAAGTTTTCTTAAAATCTGGCTTTACAGATGGAAGCTGACAAGAAACGTTCCTGTGACTTTCTCCCCAGCCAGGAGGCAGCCCAGCCTCGCACCCAAGCTGCCGCGTGCAGGGTGGCCGCTGGAGACCCCCAAATCTCCCTTGGTTCCTAGAGCTTGCTCGGTAACTGGAGGGGCTTGGGGCTTGTTCCTTCCCCTGCCAAAACGGGAAGAAACGTCAGCCTTGACTTAACAGTTGTTGCTCTGGGGAAGCAACCTCCCCCCTCCTGCTTCCCCAAACCAGGGAATTGCGAGTTGTCAGTCTAAATGGATCTGGTTAGATTGATATCAGCCAAAGAATTGATATTCTTTCTGGTATTTAACCAAAAAAGTGATAGTCTTATGTCACTCCAAATGTGGGTTTAGATAAACAGATTCTCTCCCCTCTGTTGTTATAAAACATTTAGCGTGTCAACATTAGGGATTGTATCCGTTATCTGGCTCTAGCTGTCACGGGAGGGAGGGGGATTTCCCTCGTGTTAGAGAGGGAGAGATTTGGGTTATCATCCAGATTTATTGAAAGCCCTAACGATTTTTCTGCGTTTACTTTCGTCAAGTACAGGATGAAGCCTTTTGAAAAAGAAGAGTTGCCTTGTGAAGCATTAGTCACAGCAAAATGATTTTATTTTCTCTTTCTTAGACAGTGTTAGGGCTCCGAGCAGTGTTAGACCCTGCCTAGGAGAAAGTAAACCTGAATGACACACTGTTCTTTAGGATAAAGATCGACATCGTTCCACAAGCAGCAGGAAAATGTAGCTGCAGGAGCTGTGGCAGCGCTGGGGGGGCCGAAAGGAGGTTTAAACCACGTGAAACCCTGCCCTGGTCACACAGCTGGGGCAGCAGGCAGCAAGCACCCCCAGTTCTGCACTGCAGCCACCTTTAACTGAAGTAAGCAAACCATTAACTCCGAGGACATGGTACAAGGACAGCAGAGTGTACACTCCCGGGAGCAGGATGTGTTGTTGGACCAGATCTTTGCTCAGCATCTATGCGTTCCTGAGGCGGGTCACGTCTTTGTGCTTGCACACAAGGCAGGGAGAGGGCAAACGGAGGGGCGAGTGCCAGCTGCCGTCAGCCTGTAACCCTCAGGGAGCAGGCCAGCGCAGGAAGGAACAACTTGATTTTAGCAGTATCTCTAAGGCAAAAGGAAAAAGAAATGAGAAAATGTCACTTTTCTATTCTGGAAGAAGCTCCTTCCTCGTGCCGGTGCAAGAGGCAGGTATGCGCATTGGCATGCTGTCTTGGGTGTGTGTTCAGGTTAAAGCTCCGCTGAAGCATCATCCACCGCTTCCCACATAACCCAAGTGACACCACGGGGCTCCCTGCCAAGGAAACGTGGCAAAGGGGCTGAGGCTGTCAGGCAGCGGGCGGTCTGAGACCAGGCAGGGTGACAGTGAGACAGCACGAAGCTCAGGGAACGGTCACGGAGCCTCTCACTCACCGAGCGGCCAGCTGCAATGTCACTTTTCAAGGGAAAGGCCTTCGGACACGACTATGGGAATCACAGTTGCAGCAGGCTCTGTGCCGGGCCCCTTTTCTGCCCAAAGCTGCAGGAGATTTGAGATTCAGTGAAAGGGATCAGTAGTGAATTAGCCTAAAAATATAAATCGGTTTTGCAGATGGAAAGAGAGCGGAGAAAAAATCAGCACTGCATCCATAAAGCAGAGCAGCAGCATCCTCAGAGCAACATGTTGAAATGTCCGTATTTTTCCCTATATGGCAAAAAAGAAGGGATTTTTTTTTTCCCTCAGGTGTATTATTTAATTCTTCCTTAGCTGGAAAATCTGTTTCTGACCTGCTCTGTCATCTGTTGCCTTTACTTCTGCTGTGCCAAGCCTTCCTCTTACACCCTGACTGCCTTCCCTGCTTCATCTCCATCTCCAGTCTATTTGCTGGCCCTTTGCTCTTGCTCGGAGAATTGATCCTAATCCTCCAGGCAATTTCACCGGCATTTGAAGGGCCAGACACTTGTTATTC